TTCAGCCGCAGTAAAGAGTCAACGTTGGCGGATTTTGGTTCTTGACATCCTTTACGATGGGTTACGATGCCTAGAGTACGGAGACCTGTACGATTTCGTCAACTTAGTGAGTTTGATAGGTGCCGTATAGTGGGACTTCGGGAAGCTGGACTTTCTTTTCGGGCAATTGCAGTTAGAGTGCAAAGAAGTGTAGACACTGTAGTTAGGTGATGTCAGGCATGGCTTCGAGAAGGCCGTACGCAAAGAGCAAGGGGCACTGGACGCCGCCGTAGAACAACAGACCGTGAAGATCGCCGCCTAAGATTATTGGCCTTAAGGGACCGTTTCTCCACTACCAGATCCATTGCAAATGAATGGTTTGCAGAACACGGAACACCTATTGGCATGCGAAGTGTTTACCGACGAATGAGAAGTTTTAGCTTGTTTTCATACCGGCCACACTCGGTCCTCCCTTTAACTCGAGAACACCGACGCAACCGCCTTGAGTGGTGCAGACAACGGTCACTCTGGGATCAGGAATGGAACAGTATTGTCTTTAGTGGCGAGTCTCGATTTTGTTTAGGCATGCACGATGGTCGTGCCAGGGTTAGAAGGCGACGTGGTGAAAGGAGAAATCCACAGTTTTTTGTTGAAAGACATGTTCATCACACTGTTGGAGTTATGGTCTGGGGTGCTATAGCTTATGGCTCCAGGTCGCCTTTAATCTTCATCAGAGGCAACATGAACGCGCAGCGTTATATCTATGAAGTTCTAGAACCGCATCTTTTACCCTATCTTGACACCCTGGCAGATCCAACTTTCCAACAAGATAATGCCCGACCACATGTTGCAAGAGTCACAATAGACTTCTTTCAACATAATGATGTCACATTGTCACCATGGCCACCAAGATCTCCCGACTTATCCCCAATTGAGCACGTGTGGGATATGATGGGTAGGAGATTGCTCAATTTGCAACGTCCTCCTCAGACTCTAGAAGCACTTCGAGAGGAGTTGGTGGTTGCCTGGAGTGAGATACCACAGGAGGACATTGACCACTTGATCAGAAGCATGCCTAGGCGCGTTGGAGAATGCGTAGCACATCAGGGTGCATCCACACATTATTAAAGGTCAAAGGGCTTTAAAGCAGTGCAATCATTTTGAAATTTTTATCATTTACTTATTATGCTTCATTAAGTACTTATACAAAATTTTATTAAAATAAAACCATTTAAACTGGGTGTTCGGATTTATATGTCACTTAGTATATAATCGTCTAATATATGCGTAGAATTCTGGGACATCCAATTTTTAACCCTTGAAAAAATTTTCTGGAAATGATCAGGATCTTGCGAGACGTCAAAGAATACAGTTTGAGCGATTTTTATTTTTGCGTTTTTCTCCGTCATTGGTCTTCAAAATACTATAAACATTTATGTCCTCGGGATAAAGGCAACCTTGTATGAAAATGTAATCAAAATCCGAAGCGATAATTCCCAAGTTACAGACGGGCTAAACATTAGCGGACAGACCGACGGAAATGAGTGCCATGTTTTTTCGTGATGTACGTGCCGTAAACATCTAAAAAACTGAATATCACATTTCCGAAATTTTTTATACTTGGGAGTAAATATATATTTTTAAAATCTACTATTTCAAAGTACTTTTTTATCCAATATAACCACTAAGGCAAAAGCTGACAAGCTTTAACTCTTTTACAAAATAGGTATTGAAGTGGCGGTGTTGCCAACAAATCAAAAAAGTCGTGAAAACTTCGATTTCTGACATTTGTGGGGTTCCAGATCCAACATTCTGATTCTAAATGGCGCAAGGCATTCTGAAGTGGACGAGTCACAATTTTGGATGTGTCATTGATTTACAATACAGAATACCGTCTGGTATTGTTCAAGAATCTTCTATTATTACAATATCTAAACAAATATGAACCTTGACCAAGATGATACCACATTTATAGGGCGTTTTTTTTTCCAAGGTATAGAACTTTAAGTTGGCATTACTTTTGAAGATTGCGACCGATTTGACAGCTGTCAAGTGATTTATTCTCAGTTTGGTTAGGCAATTCATCATGAATAGACTCACACCTGAACAAGGCGTGCAAATTGTGTGAATCATTGGTCCGTACTTCTTCAAAAACGATGATGGCCAGAACGTTACAGTTAATGGTGAGCCATGAGTACTAACTTTTTCATTCCTGAATTGAACAATCATGATGTCCAGGAGCAACATGTCACACAGCTCGTGCTACAATCGTTTATTGAAATACACGTTTGGTGACCGCCTAATTTCACGTTTTGGACCCGTGAATTGGCCTCCAAGATCTTATGATTTAACACCGCTAGACTATTTTCTGCAGGGCTATGTAAAGTCATTGGTCTATGCGGATAAGATACAAACGCTTGACCATTTGGAAGACAAAATTCGCCATGTTATTGCCGATATACTGCCACAAATCTTGGAAAAAGTCACCGAAACCTGGACGTCCAGATTGGACTACATCTGAGCCAGCCCTGGCAGTCATATGCCAGAAATCATATTTAAAATATAATGCCACAAGATTATCTTTCGAATAAAACAAATTCATATCAATCGAATAATCTATCGTTGTTTTATTGCAATTTAAAGTTCTATACCTCTAAAAAAAACTTTACAATGAGAATGAAGACGGCACAAAAAACGTAATGCAAATATCGAGTATTCAACGCTCTGAACACAAATCAAAATTAAAGGAAGTACCGTTATGTACGCAGGCATTCAGTTTAAAATCACAGTCGTACTGAAAGCCAGGATGTATGGTCCATCAATTGCCGCTGTATCCGCAACCTCGCTCGGTTTTGGATTATTCTCTAGTTCGTCTGGTGATTATTTAACAATGAACTGGAATTCACCTGAATAAAAATACAGTCAAATAGGTTGCAAAAACTGGAATTCTAGGTAAATTGGAAGATAAAGACACGAGTTCTAGAATACGCCCAAGTTCCATTTTTGTGTTTTTCGAGTTCATGATTGATTGCTTTGAAGGCAGACAAGTCAATGTTATTAAAAAATGCTATTATTTGTTTTTTAAGTCTTTTAGATGGTTCAAAATTTTTGATTTGAAAGTGGGTATGATTGAATTTGCAGTCGATCCTGAATCTTGGTTGTCAGCTGGTGCTATGGGTCCGTCTGCCACAGAATTGAGGAGATGCGGGTTAAAATCCCAAATACGCTCATTTTAAAGAGTTATTCCTTAAGTAAGGACCATTTCAGGGGAATTTTATTTATTTTTCAGTTTTTAACATAGTCGCTATAAAAGTTCAAATATTTGTCAAGTCGTAGCATCAGCTTTTGGATCCCGACGTCAAAGAACGCTTCTGTCTGAAGCAGTTGGTAACTGTTTTTTCAACATGTCATCATTTTCCTAGCGCTTTCCACCAGGGGATTCCTCATGTTTTTGAATAAGATGACAGTTTGATGGTGCTAAGTCAGGGGTGGATGATCTAGTAATTTGCCACGAAATATGTCCCGTTGCATTCTTGTTTTGTCGCTATGTGCTGCTAAATTTCAGAAGGAACTTTTTTGGCATTTAAAAACTGAATTACTCACAGTCGGCTATTTTGCTGATTGAGATGTCGATAAAACAGTATAACCACACAACCAACACCGACAGAGACGTGAAACGCAATGGCGTCGTAGTGAGAGACTGGCCAAGAGTGTCTGAGGTTGAACGGACGTCACGTGGCAATCAGTTCCTACTTTCTTCATAGCTACCTCTCAAGTGCTTCATTTCACCATTGAGAAATTTTGGAATGGACTAACTGCTAGAAATTAATTAGGCGCTTACAAACATTTAAACTGTCCTTGGCATTGCGGCGTACATAAATATTGCATCACGATACAATCAGTGACGTTGTAGATGTTTCATGAGGTCAGACTTGAGTTGGAAAATATCCAAACATCCCCTCTGACGACAAAGTTCAAACGATGTCTAGCTTAAAAACCTCCATCTATTATAATTAGATAACGCACTCCATACGTCAAGTTCCCCGTTCTCGTTATTTTGAACTGATTAACTCCGACTGATTTAATAACGACAGATTAAATGAAATCATAGCAATTTTCTATTTAAACAAGCTCACTACAAATTATTTGACGCTTGTAAATGAGCTTAGAGAGTGATGGCATACCTATCTCTTCATTATTATGTTGTGGTTCATATATCATGCAAGGCCTCCGAATTGTCCAATTTTCAACAGATTGTCAATTATGGAGATACTGTTTGATGAGTCCATGTGTGAGTCGATCCGCAATATGAAATATGTACGTAATAATAGATTATTGCGATCACAATTTCAATTGGTGAGAGAGATGTGTGAAGTTGTGGTTAAATTAATTTTCCAGGACCTGAATTATGTTGCAAAATGGAGAATGTTTTTGTTAAAATTTCGATACATTGAAACTATGTAAAGGATTATTTATATTCATCCTATTTATCCTATACAGCCTTTGTCATTTATATCATACAGGTAGTATGATGTTTTTGCTAGGTGACAAGTCTTGCTTTTACTATGTCAACGGGTATGGTCTTGAAACAGACATTTGATGAATAAGCAATCGAGGAAGCTCTAGAAGGAATTACCTTGTGTAACGTAGGAAAACTTGAATATCAAAATTCGCACTTGGCTATGAATTCAATAAGACAACTACAGTCTTAGATATTCTATACCACATGACCTCACTGTTTCAGCTTCTAGTAAACACACATTTGCTAGCCAGATATTATTAGTCAAGGATGCGTGTTAAGCAATTCCATTTTTACTCTATGGTTATACGGGCCCCGAGCACAAGATCCTCGCGGAACGGGGGGGCCCAAATGCACAAAAGTTAAAATGTCTGGGCAACCCCTCGTCCTTCAATTTTCCCCAGATCGTCAAATCTCTTAAGAGCTTGATTTTGGATCCACACTTTTGATTTCCTTGGCTCGTTCAAGTAATGGTTCTTACAATGCAGTAATTCTTACTTACCCTGTAGTGCATATCTTTTAGCCCTGTTGTCTCCAGTCCCTACTTTGTCCTTCACACCGCACCTGGGCAAGGTCATTATTTCCTTCGTAGTATCATCCAGTTCACCTGGAAATGAAAAACGTTGGTAAACTTCTAGAAACGGTGTAAGTCTAGGATTTTAATTCAACAAACACTAAGAAAGGAAAAGATATTTGTGGCGTTACGATCATCACGTGTCGAACTTCGTATATCCAGAGCTGGCCGATACGACCACTCCTCTGACTAAGGGATCGCTTTGGTATAAAAAAATATCTCGTGAACCGGAGCTATTACGGTATGAAACGTAACTTTAGACCCATGTCATATATTTCCAGAAATACCGAGACTTTGACTATTGGAACTGCAAATTCAGCCGCTTTCCACATTTCCTGTAAACGGCCGTGGTTCACGAGGTAATCAGTGATCTCTAATTCATCGGAAATAGCAGACGTCTCGGTGTCGGTAAGAAATAACCGAAACAGGAATATATGATTTCAGTAGGTGAAAAAAAATCACAAACTACTTGTCCAACTGTTCAGAATGAAATTTGTGAACCAACAGTGTAACACTTTATTAAATATACCATGACCTCGTCACATTACATTATAATTGACATATAACATAATTTGTGGCTAATTACTCAGTAGTTAGATTAAAAAACGGCATCCACTAGGTGTAGATTTGCCCTCCGAGAAAAAAGTCAGCTACGAACATGTATAATATAATAAAAAAAATTGACTAGATCAAATCAGTCAGACAGACCCGTACGCTGCTATCTAGTAGTTCATCCCATGCCCTATCGACTGTTCAGACCATCTAGCAACGTTGCGAATCCGATTGAAACTTAAAATTTGCATATTTAGAACAATTTTCTGTACAATTTTTGAGAATGACCATTGTGCTCTAAAACGTCAAGAAACACAGTTTGACCAATTTTATTTTCCATTTTTTGCTCCTAGCTCTGTCACTACTGGACCAATTTTCAACAACTACAAAGATATAGGACTCCATCTTCTGGCCGAATCAAAACCACATAATATCATATGCTTAGATCTTTGTTCATCCTACCACCATTGTGGACTTTTTCATGTACAATTAACATGAAAATAAAAACCACAGGATAAATTCCAGTAGTTACATTAACTACAAAGCTTTTTCGTCCTTGAACAGTAAAAATTTCTTCAAAATCCGATCGGGACTTCCCAAGTTATTGACGGAAAAGGATTAGTGAATAGACATCCAAAAAACATAAATATCGCATATTCAAAAATTTTCACGATTACAAGACTTCCTCACCAGTGGTGTGGGAAGTAAAAATAGCTAGTTTATAGCTTGAGCAGCTAAACTTTGTGCATGATTAACAAATACGACTAAAAAAATGTTATTCCATCTACTAACGAGGAATCGATAGAACACGCATTGCTGATGGCACGTGTTTGTCATATGGAATATTACACATTGACCTTTACCTTAATTGCCAGATAGATCGTCATGAAATCGCTGCCAATCATCAGAGAGAATTAAATCTAAAATAAATGCTGTCATTGCAGCTTGCAGTCTGTGTTTCCGAGAACGGTTTACAGTGTCAAGGTATCTTAACGTTATGTAAACGGTTGAAAAAATTGGTACTATTCAACTTTAACACTCACTGCATATTATGCTTTTTAGTGTGAATGTTGAAGTTTCACTTTTATTAAGCGAAAAAGATACATTCGTTACAGGAAGTCATCAAAGGTAGTTATTTTGCCTACTGTGGTATTAGTCCAAGAAGTATCTTCTCATCTTTTAGTATAATTTCATTCAAAAAGGACCACATTTCACGAATCTAAATCTCATCAGTCCCTAAATTGCATCAATACGAGCCCCTTCCCACTTCAGTTCGCCCAACTATTGAAATCTTAGTTTTTTTCTTATCAAACACGAATAATAAAAATGTAGCAGGTATAGGTTTAAAATATTAACAATGAATATTTTGATAATATATAGTAGAAAACACTAACTTTATCACTCCCTAATCAAATTGGCAGCATAAAAATAACACATGTTGCAATTACAGCACATCAACCAATTTTCATTTCAATGCAAAATAACTCGATAATGCATAGGTGGCAATGAAAAATAAACGCCAAATGGGTAGAGGAAAGGTTTTTAGTGGGAAAATTCGGTTACTGATAATTAATTTTTTTAATTCTGGGAAATCAAACTCAGAAATTTCAACTTTGTTAGATTTATCGCGGTACAGTGCGAGAAATATTGTTAGAAGATATAACCTAACTGGTTCAGTTAATATTAAGCCACGATATGTGAAAAAAAGAAGAGCATTAAGAAGAATAATCGTGAAAAACAGGCGTGCCAATTATTTACAATTAAGTGCTCTGTGGAGTGACGCTGTTGGAAGAAGAATTTCGAGGTCCACAACTCATAGAGAGGCCCACAAACTGGGATTTAGCACTTGCAAGGTAAGTTTTCTTATAAAAAAAAGTGAAGTAAAAACCCTAAATTTGCACAACTTGTTTATAGGCCAAAGAAAAGCCACTATTAACTCCACTGCAAAAGAAAAATCGGCTTAGATGGGCTAAATAACATAGACAATGGACACCTCAACAATGGTGTGCAATAGAATGGAGTGATGACGCCCGATTCGAAGTTTGTGTTGGTGACAGTCGCAGTAGAGTTATTCGCAAAAAAAATGAAGCATTCCATGTTGACTGTCTGAAGAGAAAAGTGAAATTTCCAGCATCCATTATGGTCTGGGGCAGTATGTCATCAAAAGGAGTAGGAAAACTTCATTTTATTGATCGAAATGTGGAAACAAATATTTGGCAATTTTAGAAGAATCGCTTTTACCAGTGATTGAAGAATGTTTGACATCCCGCCAAGATTTTGTGTTTCAGCAAGATGCTGCAGCGTGCCATACCTCAAAAAAGGCTATAAAATGGATGGAAGAAAATAATGTACCACTTTTGAAATGGGTTTCTAGCAGTCCAGATCTGTCACCTGTTGAAACTTTGTGGCACGAGATGAAAAAGTTTCTACGACAACATCCTGCTCGTACAATCACCGAACTGAGACAAAAGCTTCAAGAAATATGGGATTGTTTTACACCAAATTTTTGCCAAAACTTGGTTAACACTATGCCCCAAAGAATTTCTGCCGTAATAAAAAATAAAGGTGATGTTACCCAATGGTAATCTTTCAATTGTTGCTTTGTTAACTTCGCGCATTTATTCGCACATTGTTTATTTGTTCAGATGTTCTATTAGTTATAGGTCTAAGTGACTTCAAATATGTATTTTTTACGACTAGAGTGTATTTAAAATGTTTTTGAGAAAATAAATTGTTTCAGAAGTAAATAGTTTCGTCATGTTTAGTTTATAAAGGCATATTTTGGTACAAATTTTGAAGTGGGCCAACTGAAGTGGGAAGGGGCTCGTACGTGTTCAGACAATTTTTTAAAACAAATTCCAAAAATGTTTTTTTTTGTTCCAAAGCTTTTTTAGGGTTTTTAGGTCTTTGAACAAAAAAGGTTGTAATGAACGTTTCTCTGAACATTGTACTTTTCTTTGGGAAATTTCGAAATATGCCTATTTTGACGCCAAAAAGTAATATAAAAAAAACAAAGATTTTAATGTCGCCAAAGATCAGAAATAGTTTCCAGATATCTCTTAACAAAATACCAAAGCATCTTGTTATTGTCAACATGGCAGATATTTAACTGATACGAATTTCGGACTGCTTGTATCTCGAAAACTGTCCAATTTAGGGAAAAGTTGATAAGAAACTTTTTTGTTCAGAATAACCAAAAGAGGAAAACTAAAAAAAAGAAATTTTTGAAACTTGTTTAAAAAAATGCTTAAACATTCTGATTATAAAATTATGTAGAGAAACAGAGTCAGAATAATTATCCGGGCAGATGAGAAGATACTTTTTGGACTGCTTACATAAAAAGAAAATTTGAACTCACCTGTCACTTTCAGGCCTGCAAATGCTTGGAAATCTTCTATAGCTTTTCTGTACGATGACTCGTCCACTAATTTGCTAGAGTTTTTCCTTGTGGGTGCAATATAGCCATATTGTGATAGGTACAACTGGAATAAAAAATAAAATTAATAATCGCTCCATCATTTACACCAGTTGAAATGTCATCAGTCAGTGGTTGACTAGTTTTAAATTTTCATTCCGTTTAAAGTTTCAAATTCAACCGAAATTCCGGTGAATTGAAAGTCATGCAAAATCAAGTACTACAAGTCACACTTCAACGTCAAAAAAAAGCGAGTATTTTGATGTCTTCAACATTTACGCCAAACATACTGATTGCCAATTGTGTCGCAATCCTTGCACAAAAACAAATGTTACGGATCAATTCTTTTGGATTTGCTAACCTAAATCAAATATTAGACCTCGCCCGGTAAAACAAATGGGTGTACATTTTGTCATTTCAATTAGCTACTTTTTCTGTCACCACAATTTTTTCAGTGTCCTAAATATTTTCTGTTTTCGACGATATCTGTATGCAATGACATGATGTGCTCACTACCAGTTTACATAAGCTTTGAATGCCGTTAAGATTATTATAAGTTCAATTGACCTCGGAATTTTGTTGTAATTCACCGATCTCGAGCATTATTATATGAAATTTTCTGCAAGTAATACGATGTAATGATAGGCATAAAAATAGAAAAATACCAGTCATAGGCTGCGTAAATCTCAATCCTTATTTAAATTGTAGCATTTATAAAATATCATTGGAATCCTATAGGAAAAACACTATTTTCCAAAAAATGTATGTAAGCGGAATATCAATATTGTTCAAACGTAAAGTTTCGCGTCAAAACTGCATTGTAGCGTGATTTTCCTCGCTTTGTTCTTAAGATGTCATATGTGAAAAAAATATAATAACTGATGCAGGAATATAAATATGCAAAATCTGATGAGATGTATTATGCAATAAAAATATGGATGATTACACGTTAAAAGCATTCGTTTTTAAATAACTTGCAGTAGAATATGTGTAAAGCTTCTGTAACACATAGACGTCGCTTCGAAATTTACTCAAAGGTTGTTCTGTAAGTTGGCGACTTCCTAACAGAGTAATCTCAGTAAAGACCACATCGAGAATATTTTCTTGGAAAGTTCATTAATTTTTTACGAAATACAAGCCATAGTTTTGCAGGATCTCTATGTTTCCATCGCCTCATTTCAGTTATTCTTAAAAATAATACATATCCTGCTACACCCATGGTATTTTATGATACAACACGCAGTATTTCTTATACACAATGGGTAATGAAGATGCATTATCTTTGCAGCTACTAATAAATTAAATAGTTCTCAAAAATCACGATTCCATCGGTATTCAGACTCATAAAAACACGTGTACAGGAATCACGATTCCATCAGCATTTAGACTCATAAAAACACGTGGCATAACAATACATCTACATCCCAACTAGCAAAGTAGTGGTATAAGCTTTTGGTAAAAGAACCGTTCAGCCATAAAAGCTCTCTATTGTTGTTGCCTGAACACCAAAATGCTGGCTTAATGTTGTGTGGAATGCAAATTTGCTTTCTGCAACATATTTTCTCTAAAATGAAGTGTTTAAAATATTCTTATAGCATAGTTATACAACACCTTATAGGGCAAATTTTTAACTGTTGCAAAAACGTCATAAACGTTTATACAACTATTTTATACGGCATATTTGCACGTTAGTCAAAATGGTTGTGTTGTGGCATCTATGGTAACGTTTATAAAACAAACCCGAGCCTTGTTGTTTTGCTGTGCAATTTACTGCTTTAGCCAACAAATTGCTCCCAACGGAAGCACTTATGCAACTGTTTTTTAGTAACTGTTAAAGGCTGTACTACTTTCGGTTCGATCATTTTGAAAATGTCTTGTCCTAATAGCTCTTATCATATCACAAATCAAAATTTTTCATATCTGTCTTACGTTAACTTTTTGAGTGATCAAACGCTGCATTTTTTTTCCACCGAGGAGGTGGAAGTACGAAGTTCAACATATTTAGAATGGGAGGTCGAAGTCAGGCGGGTCTGAGTAGCAGGCACATCACGCATCATGGAGGAGAGCTCTGAGAAGCACCCCAAACATGTGAGCAGTACTAGAGGCTAGGCCTTATCTGGGCCTTGTATAGAGTGAGGAGGTCATGTGGAGAAAAGCCCTTAACGAATAGCCTAGCTGCCCAGCAGATGAAGCTATTGACGAGATGTGTTCATGTTAGATTAAGTCCTCTGTGATCAGGATTCCGACCAGCCGAAATGGACGGATGACACTGTGTCAGTACGTGGCAGACCCTGTTTAGTCACTTCGGAGACATACATCACAGCAAGCTTGGATACACCTAGTTTTCCAAAATTCCATCCGCCAAGAACCAGTTTCAACTTTCATTCATTCATAAATATCTACTGTAATATAGTAATTTTAACCTTGACCACTTCCATAGGAGGTGGTGATCGTTTATTAAGAAGCAGGTGACTCAACTGCTGTTTGACTACTGTGACATGAAAGCGGCTTAGTCACTGAATTTCCCGGAAATCATAATTTCATCTCAGATTCGTATGGTGCAACGTTGTAGGTAAGTTCATTCATAAAATCACACTGAATCATATGTTTCCTTACCGCACATATCGGTATCATTAATTACATTTTGTGTGCATTGTTATGGTGGTATAGTATTTCGACGTTGATATACTACTATTAGTGATTAAGTTGAACTTTGGACGCCTTTTATTTATTTTACTGAAAGATGAATAGACAGTTTTATAATATTCAGCCAGGATCCCAAGAAGCCATTTGTTTCAGTTTCTCGAAGTTCAAGGCCCTGTAACACAAACACTACAAGCTGTACAAATGTAAAAATTCGCCTTGCAATTATTTCATAACACCATTTGCAACTAAGTGTTTGTTTACAGTTGTACGCACCTGCTGTAACACTTATGGGATTGTATTACAAAGTTTCCTAACAATTGTAGTTAAAGTTTTACTTATTTATATTTGTGGGTAGGGATTTTCATCATCATCAATATATGTTTTCTTAATTTTCCCAAAAAAACACCTAAAAGGATGTGTTTGTTTTCTATTTCATTCAAAAATTACATTTTTCATTCAAAAACAATTTGTTCTGATAGCATTTAACAAGGATACATATCACAGAATCATGATACGTGTACCTATAATGTGAAAAGATATTTTTACACATACATGATATGTTGCTATAATTATTGTTGATATTACTCATTGCTATCACTTGTAGTTACAAGTGTTATTTTACTAGTAAGTCTTGTAAGTACGGCAAATTATTTGTAACTTGTAGACTTCTGTAAAACACAGATCACATGTGCTTGATTTGGTTACCATCCAACTTTCTCACTATACAAGACTCGGATATGGCCCAGCCTGGAGAACCGTTCACGTATCTACGATGTCGACTCCAGAGTCAACAAATTATGCAGCTGAATCTTTATGCTATCCATTTTTATTTTATTTACTAAACATTAGGAAGATACGAATCTCAGTTGAGTTAATTATTATCGTTGAAGGTTGTTTTAGATCTTTTTGGAATACCAAGAGCTATTTAACTGTCAATTTTCGACCAGTGTGTGTTTTTTAAATGCGCAGTCAGAATATCAATAGGCTTTACGGAAAGCTTCGTTGATGGTATCTTGAATTTTATGCTTCCTTGAAAGACACATTGGAAACACGCTGGAAGACAAAGAATGATCCAAATATCCATAAAATTTTACTTGTAAAGGCCATATACAGGGTGATTCTAGAGACAGAATAATAGGCGTCGAAAAATATAAAAAAAATTCTTATAAATTTGGCTCCTACTTGCATATTTACTGGGTACAAGATATGAGATTTTGAAGATTTGTGCCAACCTGGAAAAACATTTTTGGTGCAAATACACTTCCACATTATACCAAGACTTTTTTCATGACGAAGTCTAATCTTCCCCTACTGAAACAAATTCCTGCGGACTTCTTTGCCCTAGGTTATTCCCTCACCGTGAAACATGGTACTGACGTTATATACGTATATATAATCGAGAAAAAATAATATTTATCTCCAGAGAGAATGAAAGTAACGACTAAAAATGTTGTACATAAACTAGGGATGGTACAATCATTATACACATACAAAAATGTTCGTTATGTAAACCTCAACAGTCGCGTATTAAGCGGGGTATTTTGACCTGTATAGAAGAAAAACTATTCTCTACTACTACGACATCTCATGCGTTTTTGAGTGGGATATTTTATTATGGAGAAATTTTCGGAAATAATTGGTTTTAGTATTTAAAGTAACATCTGTAAAAACACTTGATCTACTTTGATTTGCGAATATCGCTTATGTAGCTAAGTTTGACATTATGAAAGTAATGTCACTTAGTAAAGTATTTTGGCATCTGTTCTGAAAAATATTCTGATCCGGTCCTTACCAACAAGGAACCATTTTTATGTTAAAACGATTTTCTTAGACGAATTTAAAACGATAGCTTTTTGCTCCGGAAAAGTTTTTTCTGTGTTTTTTTGGATTATTCTGAACAAAAATATTCTTACGGGTGTTGATAGCCGTGGAGATATTAGCGATTTTATATTTTAGAATCGCGAAAAACGAAAGCTTTAGTGTTGCCAAGGTTTCCAGATACTCTTCAAATCTCGGTTAAGAAAACTCCAAGACATTTTAGGGGGTATTGTTATTTTAAACTTTTGTTTCTTGATCATTAATCAAACGCGCGCTCAGTGTACATTAAGCAGGCACAGATTCACAATAACAATATCCCCTAAAATGCATTGGAACAATTGGAAAAAAATTGTTTAATAAGTGTGGACGCAATTATGGGCCTGGCAGCATGCCAAGGGGTCATTTTTAAATAAGGTTACGTAAAACGCCTATTTTAGGTAACTACTTTGTTACTTTTGGGTATACATTACTTTTCTAATTATCATGTATATATTTCAAGACCATGCACAGAAAATAATGCAGCTTACGATCCTACAAACAACACAATAACGTAGTTGTTTCCATCGCTATAGAAAATTAAACACGACATGATTTACGAGTATC